TGTAGAAAGGTATATGAAGACGGTGTTAAAATGACAACAAGACAATAACCTTGCCTTTTATTCCTCACTTATCCGGAAGTCACAGTTGGAGATTGAATGCAGAAAGAACTGAGTATGGAACTTCAGAAGAATGGTAGCAGCTTCTGACAAGTATTTCCCAAATCCTAGTCTTATGACTTGTTTTGTTTCACCAGGAATAAAAGATCACAGTCTTTGATACCTACCTCAGTGTGAGCTGAAGTGCCTCTGGATATGCATATTTCTTTTCAAGACGAAAAAGGAATCCTAATTTTAGATCTAGACTGATCACCTTTAAATGTTCAACCAGATGAGTCCTACTGCTTTTGAGATTCTTATGAAGATAGTCGAACAAGTTCCAAGTGATTTTAACAAGCATCTTAGTTTGGCTCCAGAGAACTAGCTAGCAACGCTTGACCGTTCCATTTTTTGCTTATGCTTTCTAAGTGAATTTGTAACCTTTGTATGTTGGAACTAAGCTAAGGCAGTAACTATGCACATACTTTATGTATACATACAAGCAAACACTCAAGTGTAAGCAAGGGACTACTCACATACAGTTAAACCCATAAACAAAGGTTTTGCAGGACCAATACTTTAGGGGGTTAGTTTATATGTTCAGGCATTAAACCGATTTCTTCATATCTGGAATGTGCTTGAGATTCTGGACTTTCCTTGAAATGCACAGGGCGAACATGAAATGGCCTTCTCCCAGGGACACAGTATCTAAAGAGGCAAAGATGGTTTTCACTTCACAAGCTCCTTGAATGCTCTTTCTGTCCTCATGTTAAGGGCCTAAACACTTGCTCCTGCCACCTACGAGTTGTGTGAAGCTAAATCCTACTCCTGTTCTGCACAGGACCTAGGGGAGAAGGGATGCTAAACCAGGCCATGACTCTTGAAGTACATGCTCCCAGAGGGTGCTTCTTGGGGGGCAATGCATTCCTCCCAGTCTACCTTGGCTATGCCAAAAAACACATGGTCCATTTGTCTATGTGTGCATGAATGGCCACCTTGTCCTGTTTGAGCACCAACGTACTAATAAGCAGGTTAAGACAAGATTTTATGCTGATGAGATACAGTTAGTTAATAAAGAGGATGTGATAAAATCAATATGAAGTAAATAGTGCAATCTGCTCTCATTTTCTAATGGCAGTAGAGTATACGGTACTTGTTCAGCTTGCACACCTGAGCGTGGAGAGCTCTGATCCTCATCATTGACACCACTGAAGGATGCAGGAACAAAACCTTACTGGAGCCCTGAATGATAGGTAGGGTGGCAGGAAAAGTAGATGGTGACTCATGTTGGAGAGGACTGATTCAAATCCTCGTAAGTACAACATGGAGTGCAACATCATGATGACTTCTTATTGCTTTTGCAATTTCTTATAGCCATAACATAGTCTCAGACATGATCACCTTGGTGTTCTGGTACAGGCCACGCAACTCAATGCATAAAGCTGGCACAGCATCTGTTTTCCTGTCCTAGAGGAAAGAAGAATACCTATTTGTATTCCATTTCTTGGCTTCAGCTTCAACTCACATTGTTGTGTGCATGTATCACATGTCAGACGGGATGAATAATTAGGCCCTTAATATCTGATGCCTCTTTACTACAAGTCCATGTTCTCCAGTATAGGTTAGTATAGTATCATAAAACAGTCCATGAAACTTAGTGTAAAAGGGATTTCAGATACATTCCAGCATTTTACCAGCATATAAACTGTTAGCTGCCACTGGAAATCCTAAGCTACAGACAATGGGAGATGGTAACCTCTTGTGCATAGGATTTAAAACTATAGGATCACTGACCTTGAATCATGCATGTAGCCTGGGAAATCTAGAGTTAAGCAGCTTGCAAATCCATAAAAGCCAGCCACCAGTCTGAAGAATAGAAACCTTCTTCTAGTTTTCCTGCTGATATTCAATGTTGTTTCAATCAAAGTACAGGTAGCACTTGAAGAATGACAGATCTTGTGAGCTTTATGTACCAGTATAATGAGATTATGCTTCATGACCCTATTGCATTTGACTTTTACATTAGAGAATATGATTCAGGAATTCATTTGAACAATCCACAAAAATATAAATGAAAAGATTATTTTTTTTAAATTGCTGGTTTCTCATTAATTGCACATTGTAACTGACTCACAGGAAAGGGAGAATCATAATGAAGAAAATCAGAAATAAAAAGGGAGCTACAATCTTAATGCATATCAGTACTGAAAAAATTACAAAAAATATAATGAAAAGCATAGAAAACTATATTTCTCTTACTAGTTTTATTCTTATAATATTATCACATTTAAAAAATACAATTTTAGAGAAAAAAAAAGAGCTATAGCTTTTTGCAGTGATAGGCGACAGGTCAGAAAAGCATTTCAGAATAATTTTACACCTTTTAACCTTAAAAAATACTTTGCTGACAATTGAGAAAGGGCCTTAAAAGAAGCGCTGATAGGCATTCTCACAGCAGGGTTGCCATGTCCCATCACATAGCAGAGGGTTTCTGCATAATGTATCCTGTAATAAGAAGTGTACTGCAAATCACAAGGCTTGAGTAGCAGTTTTAAGAAAGTAATCCTTGGCATGAACCGCTATTAGTGATGACACTGAAAGTTTGTTACGTAAAACTCTTCAGAAGACACAAAGAAGGTAAACTGTTTAAAATTTTGATTTGAGTCTGGAAAGAACTACTTTATCATAGAAATTTGTCTGCATTTGAATGCATATTTAGTGTTCTCTGTTTTTTCATTTTGCTTATGCTTGGACAGGCTTCTTAAACAAAAACTGCAGAGTTTAGTTAAATGAATGTCACTTTTCTCTCATTCTCTGCCACAAATAGTAATTGTTCAGAAAGTGTCTTAACAATTACTGGTGTTAATTATGAATGCTAATACAATCACTGATCACTGAGAGTCCCCATGTTGCAAGCCCTTTACAAATGGGGTAAAAAAACTAAAAAAAAAAAAAAAAAAGGAAAAAATTCCAGTATAACAAAGACTAAATCAGTCCATCAAAGCCCAGCAAGCTGTATTCATGTTTTAATAGCTAGATTAATCAAAGTGGGATATGAATCTAGAAGAAACCTTGTTGAAATTAATTTTATTTTTGTCTGGAAATGTAAATAAAAGAAAACGTGAAGGGGCCATTTCCAGGCAAGTTCTTTTCAGTGTTAATGATGCAAATCAGAGAAGTTTCTCAGTCCCTGGGGAATCTTTTTGTCTTTCTCATTTCCATAAGAATGATTTTTAGGTGATTAAAATAAAAATCTAATGGAAATAAAAATTCTTTATACTTTTCTCACAATACAGTTTAGTAGGTATCTAAAAAGAAAACAGAGTAGGAATTGACTTTAGAACTATAATAAACCTTCTGAAGAGAGGATTGGTCACAAAATGGTTTTGTATTTCTAATGGAGACATTTTTGGTTGTCTTTAATAGTATTTCAGAGAAGTTGCAGTCATCTGAAAGCTTGATGTTTTAATGTATCACCAGCATTTTCTCAGCAGCTCCTAATGGGGAACGAAACATTTCATTGTGTTATTTTCTGAGTAGTATGAGAAATGGGCATCCACATAATAATTAAAAATTTGGCTTGCAATATTTTTGGCAAATAGATTTTTTTCAGAGTTAGATTCTTCTTGAATGTCAAGGACTGGACAGAGAGTGAAATACTGGAGAAGCATCGATAATTTTAAATTACTTTTAATCCCCTTTTTCCTCCAGAAAGAAACTACTGGAGTGACTCATTAAAGAGCTGCTATTAAACTGTAGCTTTGCTATAAACTCTGTTTAAGGCAGGATACACCACATAGTGAGTGGTTCAGGACTGACTTTCCTTCTTTTTCCAGGGAGCAGGAAATGGCAAAAGTGAAGATTAAAGTAGTTCATGTCACTTGCACATCCAGCACAGAGAACACCTCCCTCTCTCCCATGCAGGCATGTAGGGACTAAACAATGTTTTCCCCTACCTTGACCCACTCTGTGCCGAGTAAGCAATGTCAGACTCTGCTCATACACACACGCACACGCGTGCACATAAATGTGTGCACATGCACACCTTCTTCTTGTGCAACAGAAGAAACGGATAGCCTGCAGAGGAGATGGATGAGCACCAGTCCTGTCACCCAGCACAACTCACCTCCACGCTGGCTGGAGAAGGCAGATAGCAATAATAACCATGGAGGAAGCTTGTGGCGCCTTATGCATGTGCAGGAGCTGCTGCTGGGCTGCATGGCCAGAGGCAGACAAGATGACAGAAGAGGGAGTATGCTCTTGTTTTCCAGGCAGTGCTCAGCAGAAGCTCTTCATCCTCATGTTCACTAGTTGCTATAAATTGCTAAGGCCCAAGCAAAGAAGAAAGATGGTCTCTTGGGTGTGCTCGCAGCCACAGTCTCTGGTGACAGCAGAGTAGAGATGGAGAAGAGAAGCTGTACAGGGAGGCTTGAGGGAGGGGGCACAACAGCGCACCAAGCCTCTGTGCTAGCCCTGAACCATGGACTCTTATAGGTATGACACCAACAATTAGGGAGGCTGCAGCCCTTCAGGATTTTCACCAGAAATGTTTTCCCCTGAGTCCCCTCTTCAGCTACTAATGAACCACTAAGGAGACTTGAGTTATCCCCAGCACTGCTTGGCTCCTGGGTCTGGGCTGTGGAGGAACGAACAGAGCTCTAGGGCTGGGGGGCAGGGAATATCTGTCCAAGGCAGATACACAGGTGTCTGATGCCTCTGTGACTGTGGGAAGTGATAGCCTCCTTGACCCTCCCATAGCTGCCAGCAGAAGATTTCCACCCCTGCCCCAGCCTTCCCCAGCTCTGAAGAGAGGCACCCCCAGTTCCAAAGGGGAAGACTCATGAAATGTTCCTGGCTGTGGTGAAGTCAGAGGATTGCCAAGCTCTGACATTCAGCAGTTATGAGTCAAGGGCCACAGAACATGACAAGGGATCTAAAATCTCAAAACAAAGCAAAAAAATGCCTTTTAATCAACAGTACTTTTAAGTACTTTTTGACATTGGCTTTTAACTGTTGTCTGCTGTCTGATATTAACATTAGCAAGGTGGTGATCTCAAGCTGTTGTCCAGATCCTGAAGACACTCCATTTTTTGTTTCCTTAATGTTGAGAGTCCCACTGAGTCATCTGAACCCAAGATCACAAGCTTTCAGAAGAAATACTACACACCTGATCAAATCATGAGCTGTGTCAACACCACCAGTCCATAAGTTTAAAGCCACTCTTCCTCTTTGTGTTTGAATGAGGTAAGGACCAAATCTCAGGAAAGATCTTTGAAGCCTTTAAAGGGAAAAAAGAAATCCTATGGGAAACTCCTTCCCACCCCTCACTCCTCCTCATAGCAAGGTTCTGTGCTGCATGTCATGCCCCTTCCTCCTCCTTGAAACGGCCTGCCCTGCTACTGTAACCAGGGAATTTCAATGGCAACTTGTAAGACTCTCATTTGATCTGGGACTCATTGTGTCCTGGTCTACTACTCACATGCCATGTTGTCAAGTGACCCTTTGCAATGCGCATCATGCAGACTTCCCTTGCCAATTAGGTACAACTCCAATGCGCTCTCCTTTTTGTCTTCAAAATGTAGCATTATGAATTGCAGCCTAGTAGATGCCAGTCAGGGATGGAGCTTGTTCTGGAAAAAAGGTCCAGCAGACCTGCAGAAACCATAACTGGGAGCCACACAGTGATATGAACTGGTGTGGAAATGCAGTCAGTTCATTGACTCAAAAACCTGTTTCAGACCATGCCATCTGCACATCTCATGGACTGCTTCTAGCCAGTGCCTTCTACTGCTGCTATGGGCCTGGACAGGACTGGTCCAGGCTTCTCCTGAAGCCCCATGAGCTGCTCCTTTCCCTCGGCAATGGTTATGTGCACACTTGTCCTGTGGTGTGGCTGGGGCTAAACAGGATGATGTCAGGCTGGGATGAGCCTTCCAGTCAGACACAGGTTGCAAGAGCATACGCTGATCAAGAGATGAAGAGGCTCATAATGTCTGCCCTGTCCATTCCCTGTATTCATCTGGTACATTCAGTAACTTCTTTGTACCATTTTCATGGAAGATATTCCCACATCCTTAGTGTGCTTTTTGGCTTGTGAGCCACAGAAAAGACAAAATGGGGTCATATAAGAAAACAGTTGGTTGTAACACAGACTTTGCTTCCCTTACCCTCTACTTCAAGATTGGATCAAGACTTACCCCATGTGAACCCCAGGAGTATCTGCAAAGCAAATTAAAAGAGAAGCCATTTGCCAAACTACTCTGCTTAGGGCAGAAGAAGCAAGTGGTTGGCATATTTTAGAGAAAAATAGGTCAATCCCACAAAAAAACTACTGTATCCCCAGGGCTAGACAGCCTCTAAACAGGACTTACAATTTTGAATTTAGGCCCCCTGCTTTTTCAAGGGGCCTAAATCCCACCTGATTCTGCCAAGGGCATGTGGAGGACCCTCCTTCGGAGAACTTCAAGGCACGGAGATAGTGAATACTCACCAGACTTTATGGTATCACTGGAATGAAACATCTCAGCCAGCAGAATTGTTTCTAGTGATCTTTTTATGGTTTTCTATGGAAGACCGTCTTTAAATTTTCCAGGCAGTCCTGTCTGGCTAGGTCCTGCACACCTGTTATATCCCCCAGAGAAGTGATATGAGCTGGAATAGTTCTGGTGATAAGTGCAATAGGATTGCTTTAAAAGTGTCGGAAAAGTATGTTCAGAAATGTGAATCTTTCTTCACCAAAACCCCAAATTAGCTGGGATAAGAAATCCTGTTAAAATTATATAACAAGTGCGTTAATCAGGAAGGACCACAAAAAAACTGCTAATCCTAGAAGATAGGCTGAAGCCCGAACACAATGCATTTAGATTTCAGTAAGGACAAAATATACCCCAGAGAACAAGACCAGGAAGATCAGCCTGTCTCATATGTGAAGAAAGGCATAGCTCTGTTGATTTCTCTCTGCTCCCAGGTATTCATTCACCAAAAGAGGAATTCTCAAGAGGAAGCTCTTGTTTATTGTGTTTCTTTCTGATGTTGTCTTACCATAGCCTTTAATGGAAGAGACTGGAAATGCATCATACATTTGCAATGGTTCTGATGGGTGCTTTTGACATTTCCTAGGGAAAAAGGTAGACACTGTATAAGCTGTGTTTGTGGTAGAGGTGGTCTTTGGGCTTGGTTTAGAAATTCAGGTTTAAAGACCCAAATAAGTCTTTCTGTGTCTTGGATGAACTTCACTCTTACTTTTTGGTCCTTGGCAATAGCACCTCGAGCCACACAACCCAACGCCTAGGAAATTCACCCACATCCCGAACTTAAAAACCATGCTTGCATTAGGTCTACAGCCTCTGAAAAAGTTGTCTCGGGAAAGATGCCCCCCGCCCCTCCTCCTCCTCCTCCTCCTCCTCCTCCACCCTGCAGCAGGACCCATTGTCCCTTGGCAGCAAGGCATAAAGGAGTTAACGAAGGAGCCAGCAAGGAGGTATGATGGGGTGATGTCAGAATATTTCCAGGGAAAGAATGTGTTGGGGGCGCTGGCCAGGCGCAGGGGCTGGGGCTGGCGGCCCCCAGCCCCACCCCGACATTCTTCTTGTCCGGTTCCCACAGGCGGAGAGTGGCACGGGGGGTCAGAGTGGACGAGCACAAAGGGAGACCCCCTGCTGCCAGGGCCATCGTGCTGGGCTGTCACTGCTACTAATTCATGACTTCACCTTTAATCTCACTGATCCATTATAGGTTAAAAAGAGACCCATTTTACAGCTGACAAGATTGAAGGGAGCGCAACCCAGGACCTGGGCGGGGGGAGAGAAAAAAATAAGGGAGAGGAGAAGGAAGGAGAAATAACCCCCGCCAAAAGTTTGTACAATTAAGACCCATCTTCTAAATATAGGTTTTGTGCTTTTTGCTTATCTTTTCCCTTCATTATGAAGATATGTATTTTATGAGGTAAGCTGATAAATGCAGCTAATCCAGAATTTTAGCACATGGGGTGAGAAGAAAAAGGAATGGGGAGGAAAGGGGAGACCAGGGAAGGAAAAAGAGTAATATTTTAGGAGCACGGCTGCACAATGGAAAGGAGGGGAAGCATTGAAATGTGTGCTTTAGAACGTGTTTGGTGAGGTCATCATGGGGAAATGACTAAGAAATTTATGAAATGCTGATGTCAAAGGTAAGCTGCTCAAATCAACATTGATTCAGTAGAGTAGTAAATATACGTGTGTGGCACTTACAGCATGTTTATAATGACACAAATACTCAATGAATTCTCAGAAATCATTAGTCCTACTGTGCTCTGGGCTGTAGATGAAGTCTCCAGAAGTAATTCTGCTTTTTATTTTCATTAGTAGGACAATTGTTTCAATTTGTACTTTTACAAACATTTTTACGCTCGCATGTTGCAGCAACTAAAATGCATGTTCTCAGTGAATTTCAGAAAAAAAGCAAATAGGAAAGAAAACAGGAAAGAAAAGTTTCTGAAAAAAAAAACCCAGGTAAAAAGTTACTGAAAGAAAAATTGCCATAGACCTGTGAAATGCTTCAAGAATTTTTTTTTCTTTTTAGTGTATAGCAATGAATTCAACATTCTTGCTTTTCCTGATATTGTCCTACATGTGTGAGGATTCTGTAGGTATCTGTGTGCAGTGCTAATTAAGGCTGTGGGGGTATTGATCCTTGGGGGTTTTGCTTTCACTATGTGGTCTTTGACAAAAAACTCCAAAAGCAGTTTTATTTAGTCCACCAACCAGTTTATCACTCCTCCTATTTCCCCGATGGTATCCGAGAGCACTGAAGCCCAAGAAAGGTGATTGTTTAGTGGATTCTCACTGTCTTTTGCCCTTGAGCAGCTGGAACCACATCTCCTCAGATCTTGCAATGTAAGTATGTATATTTATACTGCCAGACATGTACAGTTTTTGCATTTGCTATGACACCCTATTCCTTCCTTTCTTCGCTCCCTGCAGAAGAGCCCTGGGATTCACTAGCATCATGATTTTGTGAGTGCCCTGCTGCTATGGGATGACAGTGGAGAGCAGGGAGGGTTATTGTAAGGGTGCAAATCACTGTCTGAAATTTGCAAAGATTTGGGGGTTTCTGGGATTCCTGGGCAAAGTCTTTGAAGGACATCAGCTGCCAGCATCTTTTGTGGGAAGATGCAAGAGAGAATGGGGACCTTCATATGAGGCACTCTGTCAGCTGAAGTCAGTGATGAAAATTCTATTGAAAAGCGCCTCAGATCAAATAATAACCTGATTTCCTAAGAGTGACACTGCCTGCAAATGGAGGCAGATTGAGGCCCATAACCGGCCAGCGCTTTGGACACATTCTGCTTACTTTAGTCACACAAAATGACGTATTGATGCAAGTTTCCAGGATCCAAACAGGCAGTCCTTTCATAGGCAAAAGCCCTAATGAAGTCACTGGCAAGCAGCCTCGCTGGCCTAAGGCCTGCAGGCTATTTCTCTAGTCAATACAGTAGACCTAATCTTATACCTCTTGAGCATCAAACTCCATGTGTATTTTCTGCAAGTATTTGTTCTCTTTCTGCAAAAGTGCAAGATTTGTGTGCTGTGGAGAGCAGTGTCAGTGAGCAGCTGCTTTTCCTTCAGCATGAGTTGTTCAATATATACACTTCATTTGCTACTGGCTGGACAAAACCAAACTGCGGTGCTGAGGCACGGGACACCAAGGATACCAAGCCAAATACAAACCTCCTATTTTAATTTGGAAGCGTATGTTTGAAAACAAAACAGGGATTAAATTGAAAAAAAGGCTTCAGAGGATATTATGAAAATATATATTTAACCTGATAATCTTCTGAATGCTTCTAATTTAGTAGAACACTAACTCCTCCTGTAAGGTGACTGCAATCAATGGAGCTGTCTTAACAATGAGTGAGAGTTATCTTGCAGAGTGGATTTTGTTAGCTCTTTCTAAGTATTGTCCTTTCGGCTTCTGATCAATCAGCTGAATTTGTTTTCTCATTTCTGAAAGTGTGAGAAATATAGATTGGAATTGCAGCTTCACATATTACCTTGGTTGCAAACTAACATCAAACATGAAGCTGACATGATAGGAGCCATAAGGATGTTTCTGGGGGATGCTTTGTTTTAGGTGAAGAACCCATGTTCTTCCTTTCTGAAATTTTTGAATGAAGTCTTTCCCACAAGCAAACATTATAATGTGCTGCTCAGGTAATAAAGTAAAAAGCAGCTTTTAGAGCCAAGAAATTGTCATCTTCTTCTCCACACTCCTCAGAAAATGATACAGTGACTAAAATTCTTCTCAGCTAAAACATCTTTCTTCTAAGTTGCATAAAGCTTCTGTAATGCACCTGCAGGCAGGGTTCAGAGGGAGCCAGGAAAGCAGCCTCTGTCTCTTTTGGCTGAATTAAGGCTGAACTGGATGGCAACAACTTGGCCTGTAAGTAAAGGAAGAGGGAAGGGAGACTATCCAGATTACTAATTAATTATAAGTCCTCCTGTAACCATGTCCCTTTTGCTCAGTAGGATGGGAGCTTGCAGTTCATGCAAAAAGACCCCCAAGTCTCTGCCTCTGGCTGCTCCCACCTCTGGCAGCTCAAGATCTGGTCTAAGCCCACAGGTGGGCTCACAGCTCAAACTCAGACCAGAGCTGCAAGTATGAGCATCTTGGGTGCCATGTGTATTTTTAGAGGGAAAAGTACACTATGAAAAATCCTCAGGGGTGGGTATCTCTCCCTCAGGAACTCTGAGAAATGGAGCTATAAAGGTAGCATGATGCACCTTTTGAAAAGCAAGATTGCCTAGGCTACATGAAACAGAGATTGCAGTTTCATGAGAGAAAGGGTTGAAGTCTCAAGCATATCTGAAAACATAGCCTTTAAATAGTTAGCTGTCTCTGGGAAATAACTTCCTTTCACAGCCTGCATCCATGCCATTTTCATACTTGATATGCTATAAATAAATCCTTGATATTTGATGACAATCAACTAATACTGGTCTTTATCACAACAAGCTCACAGTACCTCATTCAGCATGCTCAACAAGTTATCTTTCTATCTCCTTTTTAAACGTGAAACTAATCCACTGTAAGCCCCATAACAAGGAGCCACTCACAGGGTGAAAGTATAAGCAGTGCAGTCTTTAAATTATACTGTACTTGTCTCATTACTGTTGTCATTAAAGCCACAGGTATGAAAAGATGTAGAGTAGGATTTTTCTGGTGTTTGCCAAGGGAGTTAGTAGTGCATGGTTTAATTAAAATGCATTATTATACCAGGGCTTTTTCTTTTTTAAAATAAAGTCAAGGATGCTACTGAAGACAGGGACATTCATGCACCCAAATCTGTGTCAGAGTCCTGCTGGAATTGAAAGCTCTTGCACAAACATCTGATTGCAGAGTCAGAATTCAACAAAGCAAGAAGAAACAGGCTGAAGACAAACTACCTAAATAGCCTAGCCTAGAGGGTGGGAAGTGGAACTGAGAGAACAATAAATGAAGAAACAACAAAAAGGTCAAGCACTTATTCAGGATTCATAAGTACAAATGTTGTAGTTCAAGTATTGCATGCATGAAGTGAAAAAGGTGATCCCTTCTCTTGATTTATTTTTGTTTTCCTCTCCTTATTTCTTTTTTCCAGTTTATCAATACCACTGAGAGAATTCTTGCTTGCCGTGGACTAAAAGAACCCCAAATATGAGATGCAAATAGTGAAGGTACATGGGAGCAGCAGGACAGTAAGGAGTACTCTTGACTGGCTTTGGGAGACAACATCGCATTCAGAGAGCAATACATTTCATGCACATGATGCTAGAAATAGTTGGCACAGAAACATGACCCTCCTTTATTCCTCATTTCACATAGTGCTGCCTTGGTCAGGAACAGCTGGATGGGAGAACCCCTACTTTCTGTGTAAGGGAACTGACACAGTGCACACATGGTGATCATGATTCTCCAAGACCCAGAGTTTGCAGAGCAGCTGCAGTGGCCAGAGTTCCCTGCCTTATGGGTGGCTCACGGGTGGCTCTTGTGCTGACCCGTGTGCTGAGGCTGTAGTGATGCAGGAGGCAGGTGTGCCCACGTGGGGCTGAAGGGTTGTTGAGGAGAATGGAAGAAAGAGGTCACCATATCAGGAGTTGTTTAGTTTAGTACTACTTGAACTACTTTTAAGAACCATCAGACCTACCTCTCTTGAAAAGGATGAAAGCAAGCCAATATGGCACATTGAGGTTGTTGAAACTTCCATATGTGGTACCTTCAAGGGCTCCCTTCAGCACTGGTGTGACCCATCACTACTTCTTAGGAAAATGTAGATCCTTTTCCTGAGTCTTAGCTTCTTGGGTTTTTTTTTTGTTGTTT